GTGTGTGTGTGTGTGTGTGTGTGTGCTTGCTGGGACGTGCTCGGGACTTTTAGCGGCACAAGGTAAGACACAGTCATCTGGCACCACTTCCTGTATTCAGAGCCAGTAACCACACGGCACGTGGAAGTGGTGGGGGAGGAAGTATCTAGATGTGTGACCGTCACTGTGCTCTGTGAAGACAGATTGATAATCCCCACCGATGCTGATACCGATATTATCCAGCAGAACATTTCTAAACTTTCTATTTATAAGATTTTCAAACCCCTATGACAAAGAAACTTACATGAGGTTTGATATTTTACAGTTTAAGAAAAAAAACAAATGTAATAGAATCTATAGAACTTATAGAAGTTCCCTTTCTTCAAATGTCGAACACAAGTTTCTTTAAAATCCACATGATAACCCAGATGTTTCTGTGCGGACTCTACCTGTGGATGCCGGAGCACTCGATACACAGCAGGATGCCCAGGTTGATGGAGGCCCAGCGAGGGTCGGCCTGGCCGCAGTCGCAGCACTGCTCGTTCCCTGGCAGACACTGGATCCGCTGCAGGATGGTGTCGCCCCGGGCACTGCGGTCCCGAGGCTCGCTGGCTGAGTCGATGCTGCTGGTGGACGGGGAGGCGGTTCTGTCCAGATGCTAAATATAAACAGATACGACTGTCACACCAATACAGTGTCCCGCAAATGAACTCGCTGTGTGGGATTTCTGCTTTACTTTGGCTCATGGGAAAATACAGTACATGTAAAAATGTATTTGCAGTTAGTCAATGATGGAGAACCGTGATTTACCTCGATGTAGTAAGTGTCTGGGCTTTCTCTGTAGGCTGAAGCGATGCTGGCTTGAACTGCCTGGATCCACGATTGCCTTAACTTTTCAGATTCAGCCTGTAGCATACAGCTCCTGCAAAACAAACCATCACAGATTTATTTACAGTATAGGTAATAAACCCTGCCTCCTCCATGTTAGTGGACCCAAAAAACAAATAAATTATTTCCAAAAACGGTTTCTGTAATTTTTGGTCGTTCTTATCACACTGATGTGACGTGTCAAGTTTGGTTTCAATCAATTATTTAATGCTATAAAAAACTGGCTCGGTTGAGCGATGATATTACGGCAGCGTGAGCGTGTCTTACTTTGAGGGGGAAACGACCTCGAAGCAGAACCTCCTCTCGATGTCCTCACAGGGTTTGACAGAGCACAGCCGGAGATCTTCCACCACCACCGTCAGAGAGTCCTGCAAACACAAAACACCAAATTCTCAAATTCTCCTCTTACCGACGGCAACAAACTACTGAACCTGGAGAAGATGGCGTGTTCGAATATGATCACACACGGGTGTCAGCAGAGAATAGAAAATGACCTGAAAACCTTACAGGCCTCAAAGTGAGTGCTCTGGCCTCACAGAATCCGTGAGAAAGTGAGTGATGATGGATTTCAGTGCAGAACACCATAACGTTAAAAAACCACCCTCCCCGTTAACGTTGCACTTAACCTCTTACCCCCCCCCCCCCTTTACCCCGGGGAAAACTGATAGGCGGAAGATGTATGGACTTGCCTTGAGCTTCTTCTGATAGACCAGCTGACTGTTCTGTATGGAGAACCACCGTCTACAGAGAGAGGGGGGGATGAATAAAACATGTTTTAGATGGATATTCTTTCCATGGTTGAGGGTCAGCGTGCAAAAGGTGAACCACTGTGGATCGCAGAGTAAACTGGTCATGTGACAGGAACACACTGACAAAGATGTCAGCGAAGGAGGAAATAGAATTATAGCGGGCACAGGAAGCTCTCCTCAGACAAATCAGCTCTAGGCTCCAGTTACCTGTTCCAGGTCTTAAAGGCATTGCTGGCCCTCTTGAACAGGTACCCCTCCATCACCACACCATTAGGAGCATCCACGTTGAACTCCACCTTAGAGTCGTCATAGGAGAAGTCCTGACAGAAAAAAAAAAAGGAAGAGATTAACCCCGGCCATCACACAAAGACAGGTCAGCAGACCAGCTGTCCGTTGGCAGGATGATGTTGTGACCTTTAAATCGTCAAACAGGAAACTAAACACGTCTCTTTTTCCGTAATGAAGTGGTCGCGTGTGTTCTGTTCCTGGAAACCAGTGGCGTTCGATGTGCATCGTACTGTACATACAGTCCTTGTGTTGTGAATTGTGCGATCGTGTAGAAACGGTGACGTGCGAGTCCGTGTATGTATGGCAGCGGAGTCGCATGCCATCTTCCTGTGTGGCACACACACACGGGCATTTCATAACTCAACAGATGCGAGTGTGACGCAAATCATTACATAAACAGAGTGATTCATGGGAAATTAGCTCCTGACCTTTTTGTAACTTGCAGCTTACTGATGACACCTTTATACCTTCAATGCTAACAAACAGAGGGGAGTGCACAGGGAGTCAGGGCAGAGTTATTCCTCCTCAACATCAGTACTTTGCTGTGTCATGTAAAGGAAGAGGAATATGGAGCAGGACGTCCTCAGACTGATACAAAACCACATTGTAAAAAAAAACAATGCAACTTGCAGGAGAGGCAGAATATTAACATATCCAGAAATTCATTTCAACTTCTCGTGCATGTGGTCTAAAGAAAAGGCCGAGCTCAGTCTCTGAACCACATCAGGCTGCACGCTTCAACTGCAGAGATGTGTCAGACATTAAAAAAAACGATGCTGCAGAATATATGAAAGCGTCTGCTGCAGCGACCCATATAAAAAAAAAAACAAGCTTCACAGACTCTTGTTTCATAAGAGAGAGAACGCACTCGCAGCAGCTCTGAGCACCAGCAACCACTCACTGCACAGCTGAATAAAAACGCGACTGACTTCTCCGTATATCACAGTTTCAACTTTAGACGACACAGAGTTTATGAGACGCAATATTTTTATATATTTATGATATTTATACCAAAAGCCACAGGTTAAAATACGCATGCAGTGAAAAATGAAAAGCAAATCTGACAGTTACCAGCACACAAACAAACACCCGTAGAATAAGACAAGCAACAGAAATCAGAAACAGCTGAGTACTGATGAAAAGAGAGAAGAGAAGTATATGTATGTACTGTATGTATTGTGTAAATGACCAGAATTTTCTTCTTAAATTCAGATTTTAATAAAACTCTGAAAGCCAGGAATCTAAAAAAGTCTTTCTTTGCTAATCTAAAGTCACGGCAAAAAAAAAAAGAGCAGAAAATCTGATTAAGTGATTTAAAATAATGATAAGTACACGAGAACTACAGCAAGAGCAGCATCAAACAGCCAATGAATACAAATCAACCCACCGAGCTGCGGTCCCACCGGCGCAAAATCTTCATTTTCAGACGTTTGGTTTGTTCCAGCAACATCGGAAAGCACAAAAAAGTTCAAAACAAATAAAAAAACGGAATATAGAGGCTCCTGAAAACCAGATCTCTCAGAGTAGAAACATGCCGCTCCTCTCTCTGTGACGGCTGCAGCTCTCACAGCACATGTCGCTGCAGCACCGCGAGTAATTCCAACACTGACATGTGCCACTCCAGCTCCGGCCCGCTGCCCTGTGAGCCTCGGGATTACCGCTAATTACCATACAGCTGCCAATCCGTGCACGGCGGGGAGAATAGTACTGTACTGTAGCTGCTCTCGACCCACAGACAGAAAGCTTTGACACTTCAGAGTCTGGGTTGCAGCTCCCTAAACACACCTCCCTTCCCAGGAGGAAGTGGGAGTTCCAATCCCATGTGGACCCGCTGAGGGGGGTTCCCATCTGGGAGGCAGCCAACATCACCAAACAAATACATGACCTCTGGAGCTGAGACTGACAGCAGCTCCGCTCACTCACAAAACAAAAACCCTGCAATGCAACTATCGGGCAGAACTCACTCGAATGCATCTTACCTTCAGCTGTCTGAAGCCTCGGATTTCTGAACGCAGCACATGACGAGCGCCCTACGAGATGTGCACTGGGGGTGGTGCTCCGCAATCTCTCAAGCTCACAACAAAGGTCGTCTATTTTTAATGATGCAACGTCACAGGGACCGAAACTGAACACGGGTGAATTATTGAACGAGCTGCGAACCAGTGACTTCCAAATGTTACGAGCGAATCAGGAAATTGTGGCGGAACAAGACTCGGGATGATGCAGACAACATGTGCTTCATCCACCTGTACGCAGCCCGCCGGCGATGCCGCAGAACCAAATGTTGAGTCCGGCAGCGATGAGTCAGTCTGTGTGTTTGTTTGTCGTCTCCGAGGTCCGTCTGCGTCTGAACACATCTCGTCTTTGTCCTGTAAGAACCTGCCGGACATCTTCTACTACACTGATCCTCAACACAGCTGCTCGACCTCGCTACCACGTCACCTGAAGGCTGCAACATCTCCAGCCATGAAATCCACCTTCTAATCTCCGCCAAGGAGGTTTATGTTTTCATCTTCTGTTGCAGGATTTGTAAAAAAGAGAAAAAACCTCCTGCTGGACTCTCTCCATGTTCAGCTGGAGAAAAAAAAAAACTTCACCGAATCCTCTAACGAGCGTGGAATTCAAACAGCCGGCGCTGCAGACACGATAATTACAAGTGACTTGATGTCTCAGTCTCTGGCCTTCGTCTGATGAATTCATGTAATGAAGGCCGTGGGCACATATGTCACATGTTAAAGAATAAACAGAGCTGTCTTCGTCTATATAGGAAGTGAATATTTGAGCAGAGAGGACAAAGAACTTGTGGAGAAGCTTTACACATGGCAGATTTAAAACAAATCCGAAAATAATTTGCAGAATAATCATCGGTTAAAACTTGCAGCTCTTCACATTATTTATTTACGTGATACGTTTCTTTCTGCATGTTGCCTCTGTATCTCCTGGATATCTACATGCATGTTGTTTTGATTTCTGATGTAGAGCGTTGTTGACGTACATTCAAACCATTCAAACTAAATATAATTATTTCATCGCGACTTGTATCTTCAGTATTAGGCTGTAAAAATAGCTCCAGTGACACACGGGGCAGCATGTAGCGCTGCACTGCTGATATAAACGCAGAAATACAGAGCGGTCGGGCGGAGCTGACTGCCTCCGACAGGACTTCTCCATTAAATCTGTGGTTAAAAATGAATGGCTCTGGCATTTAGACTCTCTCGCTGCTCCGTGCCGCCCGCCAGCGATGGCGAGCGTCCACAGGTGGAGCACTTTAACTCGCTCTCTGCTCCCCTGGTCCTCGCTTGTACTGAGCAACGGCTGCTCCTTTGTCCCTGTGTAAGTTTACACAAGGCTTATTGCGCATGCTGCGAGGGAAGAGGGAGAAAAGAGCAGAGGAGAAGAGAATAACACGCGGGACCTCTACTGGTTGATTGGTTGGCCCGACACTAATTTGCCGATTTGATGCTCTCGCAGCTGTAACACAACATTTACGTAATACAACGTTGGGCCACTAGGGGTCACTAGATCAAAACAATAACAAAAGACTTGATGACATCGTGAAGCAGCGTGGGATCATGGGAGCTGTTGTCTTCACCCCCCCCCGGACACGACGCAAATCACGGATGAGGTCACGTGGAAACGTTTTACTCATGTTACGCAGCAAACGGCGACAAATAACAGATCCATCTCCAGTGACCCACAGACGACAGTCGACTGGCTGACTGTGTTTTTCCTTCGTCATATAAGTTACAGCAGAGACGCACAGAGTCACGACTACAGCAGATTCAAAGACGACCGAAATGAAAAGTCACGTTACCTTAAATAGAAGTGGGGATTTCTCAGGGTTTGTTGGAAACATTTTGGATAATGTAAATACACAAGTCTGGAAAATATATGACATCGATCTAATCATTTTTAAACTGTAAAATGAAAACTTTTTTTCATTTTACAGTTGTTTTTCTAGATGTTTAAAAAGCAGAAAAGATGTTCATCTATGTTTATTCTTCTTTATTTAGGTTGTATATATTTTGATTTGTTGTAATTTATCATACATTTTATGGTTAAACTGTAAAATATCAAGCCTTAGGTACGAGGGTTTGATCTTAGGAAGCTGTGCACATTTTTTATATATCAGCATTGGAACGCCATAATATCCAAATGTGTAAAATTTTAATTTGACCGTTTTTTTTTGGTGTGAACATTTCTAATATCTAATTTAATCGTTTCAGATTCACGCTGCACATAGAGTTAAACAACAGGAAACAGTCGTCTGACCTAGTTTTACTCAGGAACCGCATCAACGTCTACAACCTGATCTATTTTAGGACACTTCAGTTCAGTCTCTGCAGCGGCTGATGTAACAGACGGTTTCTATACAGGTCATTCTAACTACGTTCAGTGTTTCTAATTGTTCCGCATAAAAGATTCAAGATGCACTTCAGCTCGGCGGAGTCGGACGACAGCTGAGGAAAACTTCAAAGGGGTTTGCTAATGTTCCGCACTAACACTGCGGGCGACGCCACCCCCCCCCCCGTGCACAACACCAGAGCTGTTTCAAGTGCAAAATGAAAAATACACACGGAGAAAACAAATGGAGGAGAACTCACCTGCATGAGGGTCTGAGGAGACGATGGAGGCGGCAGAGACATGCAGACAGAGGAGGAGAGAACACGGCATTAGAATCTCAAAACAATAGCAGACTGGGTTAAATTAGGATAATACAATAATCTTTCAGGTTGAGTGCACCTCTGATGATCTCATGATGATCTCATCGAAACCCAGCGACAAAAAAAACCCTCACCCACGTTCTCGAACACCTCGATTTTCATGCACATTTCAAGGAGGCATCTTCGACCTGTGACCTTGTTCATCTACTACTTCTGTCTCCCTCCGCGATGGACGGTGCACGCAGCTAAGCACCCAACAGCTCGGGCTGAAACAGATCAATAACTGGCCCCCACGTGTGACCCAGCCCTGCCCCGTGGCTCAGCACAGACCTCAGCGCCCGGAGGAAGAGCGCTGACCGGAGCCGGCTGACAGATGGCCACTGATCCTGGGGCGCAGAGGAGCCAGACGCTGGCCCTCTGAACATAAAGGTTCCGTTGTGAATTATTAAAGAAGGAGATGGCGAACAGAGAGAGCATCCTACTTTTACGACTTACATACGATGGAAACTACACATCCCATAAACCACTGCCAAGGATCCCTATCCAAAGACTTCCAGCAACGAAAAACAGCCGCACGATAGAGAGAGAAGTAAGGAAACGTTTCCATGGTTACAGCAATCTGAGATGACGCTATGACACCTGAGGATTGTGGGTAGTGTAGTTCTTCCGCCTGACATTGCAAATAAAACAAGTTTTTCTTAAAAATGATATCGTACGGACTTGTGGCTGTGACAGGAAATAGCTAAATGAACTTCTGGAACCACACTGTTGCTCTAAATATGTTTATAAATGTTAAATCTCAAGGCCGTCAAAAAATATACTAGGTATATCTCTTAAAACCACCCATGTAAAACCTCATGGTGGCGCCAGACGAATAACCGGGGAATCCTCAGAGTCAGCGTGATTCAAATATCACTTCGATCCATGCGATCGTCGTTGAGATGTTTCAGTCTGGACCAGCGTGGTGCGGACGCGACACCAGCACGATGGCAGATCCTCAACAAAACGTGAGATCAGCACTTTAACGGACGAACGACGCGGTGAGATTTTGCTTATACACCAGAAAATGCACAGGTGCCGCAGACAACAGTGGGATTAAAACACTTAATTCAACCTGATTTAGTGCTTAAATCGATGCCTGGACTTTGTTAGGGAGATTAATCAAACACTTCCCAGCTGCCCAGGGTCTAATCCCTCCCCCCACCGGGCCGAGTGGCAGACTGGATCCTAGAGGTGTGATGTGAGCACGTTCACACACTGTTGACTTCACAGTGCGGCTCACTGTCAACCTGCCAGCCCCACAGACAAAAGGAGGATTCTTTCAGGGTGTATGATCATTTCAGCCCATCCCGAAATACCTGAATTCTTACTCACGGAGACGAAAAACGTGGACGAACAAACCCGACAGTGTTTTGACTGTTGAATCCAGGATTTTTTAAGTCAAGAGTGTGTTGACAAGATAAACTTTGCGGTCTCTTAGGAAACAAAACACGGATTTAAACAGTAGAAGAAGTTGTGCTGATGATGATCCAATGAAAAAAACTTTTCTTCCATGACCAGATTCTTTATCTTATATCTCAGGAGCTTCTTATCCCAATGTCATATATAAAATAATCACATTTCAGCTGAAAGTGGAAGGATAGAATAATCAATTACAAATTATTCATTCCAAAAGTTTCACAGACTTCTTCTAAGGTACAGAAACAAAAGCCATTTCACACGTACCTTGTTTGGTCCCAAACCAAAGTAACAGGTGTGAAAGGTGCATCATGCCACTGAATTTAGTCGGAACCAAAGAGTTGGTCTGGGATCAAACGGAACAGTAGTTTCAAACGGAAACGATGGAACAAAGACACGAAGCTCGGTTCGGAATGTAAGAAAACCACTACTGCCTTAAATCAAAGGTTGTTCTCAGACCTGCAGATACTGACCAATGCTTCGTTTACCGTTTATATTTGGTTAATTTTAAATAAAGGAACTCACCCTCTGCTGAATGGTGGCGTGTTTATGCTCCATTTCCCTCTTCTCCATGGCTGAATCAATCACCAGCTGATCCAACTGAGGGGCCGTTCACGCAGAGAAGAAAAAAAACAGGAACCGTTAAAGTTAGACTTCTTCATTCTGCAGCGAAATCATCACGAAACACAACAGCAGGACGGTTTCAAACACAGACTGAGCCTCCGCTGACTCGTTGGCTCATTGATTCATCCTGCGACCAATGAGTGCATGCAGAGAGGAGCGGTATACAGATAACATGGATCCAAAATTCAATCCTTCACATGGTTTCAATAATGATGTGGACAGATTATGTAACTGTCCCTCGTCCATAGTTCGATCAAACTAATTCCAGTTGAGACAATGTGCCCGGGGGGGGGTGATGATTCAGCCCGGCACGAGCCGAGCGGAGATGAAGACGCTCTCCTCACCTCAGCCGCCAGTTTCTTCATGTAGGGGTCGATCTCATCCAGCAGGTTGTAGCCCTGGTGAAACAGCGAGTACTGGGCGTGCATGAACGACAGCATCTGTGTGGGACAGAGGTTTTCAAAAGTTACCGTCAACACACTGATGACCCTCTGTGTTGTTTTTTAGAATATGGTACGTGCGATGACTCACTGCGTCGAGGATCTCAAATTTCTTCTTCGCCTGGAGGACGTTTATCTACAGGAGGAAAAAAATGCATATTTCTAAATTAACATTTAAGAATCTGATGAACCTGATTAACTTGTTGACATCCAAGATTTAACTTCCTCTAGTTACCCACGCCATGGAAATCATGTTTTCGTCTATGTTCGGATACTGATCTGATATTTATGAGTGTGTGCAATTTGGTTCAGATCCAAATAGAAATCTGGATCTAGTGAATTTAAATGCGGTTGAGGACGTATGAGAACTACTCAGTGTTATTGAAGTTGACAATTTAATTTGTGCCACATTCACCCTGAAAAAACTGAACACGCTGCCCGACAGGTGACCTTTCTGTATTTCTTTCACACTTCACATCGTGGTCTCCACTTAGGCGTCCCCTGAATTAAAGCATTTGCTTTGTGTATCTGAGCTGACGCGAACCTAAATGACATTTCGTGCTGCATTTAAGAGGTCACTTTTGCACACAGCACATCTCCCCGCAGCTTTGACCTTTCTTCCGCTTTCAGACGCTTTCAGTTAAGACTCAAAAGGGTCGGACGTCTGAGAGCCGAGAGAGAGCGAGACGGCTGCCAGCAGACAAAAGTCCGGAATGGAAAGAGGCCGCGGCCGTCACAGCGATCGTGCAGAATCGGTCTCTTTGTCCCCGCGGGCACTCGTGGGTGGGAGGTTACAACTTATGGTCAAAATAAACCCACGGTGCAAATGAACAGAGAATGTGTCACAAATGCTGATATGACATGTGAACCATTTTATTTATTGTTGTATTATAACGTTAGATATTCAAATACACAGAAAATAAAGTCATCTAGACAATAACCACTCCTCTGACCTGTAGCACGTAGTCCAGAGCGAGATGCCGGAAACACTTGCGGGTGATGCTGAGAGTGCTGGTGGCTTCCTCCACCTCGTGAGGCTTGTTCCTCGGCGCCTGGGCGTTCTTCACCTGCGCTATTTCCATATCCTCGCGCACCCTATCAAAGTGCTTCTTGGTGTCCTTGAACTTCCGGACATCCCTGACAGACACGGAGAGGAAACGATGACGTGCAGCCAATGAAAAGATGAGTTCAGGAGAATGTACAGGGGGATAACCGAGTTTGAGGTCAGTGTGAGGTTCTGCTTCTTGATCATTCATGATATGTCTCTGACAAAATACCGAGGCTGCACCTTGTTTAATATTTGAAAACACCAAAAAGGTTTTCAGGGGCAACAGGGGTACGTTTGCTCTTTAAAGGTCGTTTAAAGGTTTTTTTTCTACCTGCGTTGAATTTTTCATACAAGTGAATTTCTGCACGGATACAAAACTGAAGCATCGTAGGTTCACTCACTCTTTCACAAAGTTGTGCAGCTGCTGCTTCACCGACCTCTGAGCTTGATCGAACAGGATCTGGAACAGAAGAAATTACTTTTAAAACACAATAAGACTTTAAGAGTTTAAAATCAAGGGCAAAACTTTTATTTAGCGAGTCAGTATCGCTGTATTGGTGACTCAGGGGTTCACATGAATGCATCAGAAAGTTAACGAATGAATAATTCATTGTTATTATGCAAATAATGACATTTTATAAACAAATCATTTAAAACTGAATCAAGAAAATACATTAAAAAAGCAGATTCCCTAGTTCCCTTATGAAACCACTTTCAAATTCACCAGATCCTGATTTTTATCTGGATCGGCACCAAATCACGCACACTCATAAATCTAAATATGTCGGATTTCATCAAGATCCACGAATCATCATCTGAGAAATTAACTGGACAATGAGAGATGCTGGTCAAACCACCTACATGTATTTTTTAACCAACAGAGGGCGACACAACACAACTTTTTGCTGTATTCAAATGATGCAAATCCGCCCTTAACGCCTGTTGGGATGAATGGAGGAGGAATGTCAGTCAGATTCGAACACACCGGCTCTAACGCACCAACACGCCGCCTTCAGTTACGTGTTGTACATCCAAGAGCCCTCCTCCTCTCCTTCACGCTCCGAGCACATCGTCGGATTGCTGCTGCTGCTGCTGCTGCCGTTAAATAGGTCACTCAGGCAGAGAGGACGTGAGTGAGAGGGAGGGATTTTGGTTCGATGTGACACTGCAGAGTCTGCATCCAGTGCAGTGGTGCAAACCCTCTCTGACAAATTGTCGTGCAGCGGCCTGTATCCTGTCACTACGGCTGAGCAGCAGTGGGACAGGTCGAAAGGTTTGCGTCGTCATCCCGCTTGAATACTTGGATCTACAACTGTGTGTGTGTGTGTGGATGAGAAGATTTCAGCTCTCGGGCTCTATAAAACGAGGCTTATGGGTATTTTAACTCTTTTTACAGGGGCTGATGATGAGTGAGACACTTTTATATTGTTGCTGTGCAGCCGGTGCACAGAGGATGAAATAAATATAGACGACTTAAATTTGACTTCAGGATAAAAATGTGTCTCACAGGGAAGCGGTCAGTTTTAATGCATTCCTGCCAGAGACGTGTTTGTTTTGATCGTAAGTTGAGGCCTCGTTTCACTGCTCTATAAACCCACTGCGTCTAAATATGTGTGAAAGTGGAAGAACAGAGACGCTCATCAGAAACCATCCACTTCACTGTTTGTAATTACCGAACAAAGGAATTCCTCCGATACCAGGCCGAAAAAACAGAAGCTGCCTTTAATGGCTTCATGCAAAGTGTCATGTTCAAAGCCCTCGTTTGACTGAATCACCATGTGACTAATCGTGCATCGTGTGGTCAACCTGTTTCCTCGGGACAGAGTTTAACAAGCTCTCAGAGAAGTGCAAGTGAGAAGTGGGAGTTTGTGCCGTGGATCAGGATCAGCAGGGGCGGCGGTGTGTGCAGGGGCCGTAAACACCCGGGTGTAAGATTAGCTCGGGCGTCAGTGCAGAGGGCGCCGAGGTGGACGGTCACGGTGGCTCAACGTTGTGTTGTCAAGTAAACAAGTGCACCTCCGTGATGTTTGTGAGTGAGCGGCGGCAGGGGAGCTGCGGGGAGACTTCCTGACTCTGGGGTGAAGTGCAGCCTGCAGCATTCCTGAGCTGCTTTGTGGCAAGCTGACACCCTACTTTCATTGGGCCGAGGTTTCACGAGTCGTCCCTGCGCGGTGTGAACTCAGCCGACTCAAAGAGCGGCAGGCAGGATTAACAATGCACTGCCTAAAGATATACACTACGCCTGAGGAGATATTGTAGTTTAATTAGCTACTCTAACCCAGCGCTCTGGGGACGTTGGTTCATCGGTGGATGGCCGAACAACGAAAGTCACTTGATGGAATTTGAAATGAGACGAGCTCACACAGGGATGAAGCAGCAGCAGCAGCATTAACATAACTTACCACCACCATCAATTTAACATAAAGCTCACTTCATTTGCTATAACAACGAAATTGAAAGATCTGAGGGTTAGATTGCAAAGTGTTCAACAATGATAAGGCTGTTTACTGACATTGTAGGAGAAGCTGTCTACAATCTGCAATGACAACAAATCTAGGATCTTCCCTGACTTTGCCACAGTCCCTTTGCTGATGAGATAGAAAGAAACTGTGCAAGGATATAACTCGACCAGCAGGAAACTGGAGCCGCACAGTTTAAGTCAGAGTTGCACAACAATCCCAAACAACAGCACACGGACTACACTCTGGGGTAATGCACTTAACGTAGCAGTGCAGCAGCAGAGGCAGCGAGCTGATGTAAATCATGTATTTCTCTACATATATAAAAAACCTTCCCAACGTTTCACGGGAAAGTTGAAGCTAAAACAGATTTTACTGGGCCTCGGTGGCACAGACAGTGAGTTTTGGTGGAAAACATAACTTTGTTCGCAAGAAAAGTGTCTTTAACGCAACACAGATCGACATGAAAACCAGTCCGATGGAAGTGAGACCTCAGGCATGCTCTTTTGGAAACGTAAAAAGAGATTTAGCCAAATGGAATCCGAACACAGCCGTCCCGGTTCTCTGACTGACAGCGAAGAACAGTTTTATATCGAGGACAGGGTTGGCTCTATCGCAAACACTACATCATGTTGGATTGATTCTTATTTGTCTCATTCGAGAAATATTACAAGACAAGGACAAGGGTTTAATGTCGTCACACTTTAATGCTCAGCTCGCTCGATGATTAAAATGATGGTTCCCTGCTGGAAAACGCCGTGAGCTCAGCTTGGGTCTCAAACTAAAAGATCTGCAGAGAGAGAGAGAGGTCAAGCAAAGCTAGAGCAGGAGTAAATAAACGCGTTGTCATGCTAATGTCATCAGTTTGCTCAAAGCTTTATTGTGGCTCATTATGAATGAAATCATAACAGTTTTTCTCATTTGCGACAGACAGGTCAACGGAGCGCGGCTGCGACAAAACAAAGAAAACACTATGTTGTAAGAGAGAAAGGAAAATCTGGCACATCTTCACCGAGCTGACGTCACAGCTGAGGAATGAGACGGCTACAACGACCATCACAATGAGCTACTGTCCCGACTACCGCCTCGCTAATTCCCCTCTCAGTGCACCGGCATGTTGGGACACGGACGGATTTAATGACATCAATCAAGCAATTATCTTCAGCCCGATCAGTGCATCTCTGTTAAATCACAGGGACACTGTCACAGACAAAGACGAGTTTAATCCTTAATCCCTGTTTGTGTTCACAGTTACTAAAGTAAAAACCTCTCATGTGGTTTGTTTAGCCCGTCTCCTGCAGGAGCTTTGTTTAAAGAGTCTTATCCACTGTTGCATCAAATATTTCACTTCGTCATCGTCCAGCATCGAGGTCCAATCCAACAACATCTTGATCATCAGGCAGCTCAGGAATGCTGCAGGCTGCACTTCAGCCCTGAGTCAGGGAGTCTCACAAACATCACGGAGGTGCACTTGTTTACTTGACAACATTTGGTTTACATTGACCTTCCACCTCAGAGCTCTCTGCACAACACCCAGCCTAATTCTCCAGAGTTTTTACGAGGGGGCTGGCAGGAAAAACTCTGGATAAGCTTCTGTCAGACAAGAACTGAAGTCAGGATAAACTCCTGAAATCTTCAGAGAAGTCAGCTGCTGCGGACATTCTCCAGAGTTTCCCCCCAAACTAAAACTCCGGAGTGTCCGAATGAGCCCACGTGAGAACAAAACGAGGTGAGGGACACAAAACCGAACATCTCAGGATGAAAATATAAGCCTTAGCAGTTTAATAACAACATAGTGTTCTATTACATCTGTGAGCGTTTCTCTGTCGGGCCGCTGTGCCCCATTTAAAGACACATTCTCTGATATATATTTTTACATTCTAAACAAAGAATGCAGCTGGAAGGAACAACAACAATTGCCGTTGCAGACAAAAAAAAGAAAAAGCCCTCCTCTTGTGTCTTTCTTTGTTTTCCAGTTTGGTTTCCAAATATAAATCAGAGACACTGGCGTTGGCATCTCCCATAGGAATTCACTCACTCATTCAGAATGTACAGCCCATACTGCACGAGGACACGTATTCTATTAAAAATTCAGACGATCGAATGTGATCACAACCTAAACTCCTCCGCTCGTTTCATGCTTTCTCCGCATCTACCTGCTGTAACTCCCGGCGGCCCCTATATAATCCTTTACGGTGTTGGGTGCATTAAGACTTGGCAGCTCACATGTTAGTCTCTCTCTCTGCATCTCTGTGTCAGTCTCCCCTCATTTCTAATGGATGTTCAGAGAGTCAAACGTAAGTAAATTATTTATCGAGTGTTCATATGGAGTTTCATGCTTGAATTAAACAGAGACTGTTTAAAAAAAAATGTTGGCCTGATTCTGCTGATGCTGAAAAAGGAAACTCGGTCTCTGACCTGAAGAAAGCCGGAGCTGCACTTGGCTTGAGTTTGATGTTCATACAAACAGACCCTGTTTGTTCTGTTGTGTGGTAACAGACTGGCAGGAGAGCCGAGCGATCAGGAAACCGAGGGAGGGAAGGGCCAGGACTCTAGAGTTGTCTTGACAATACACACATTTGTGTTTATTTCACAGGCTTTAAATGCACCTGTGTTTCGACAAGGTCAGCTGGCGCTCAGAGGTCCCACGTCGTACAGCGCTGTTTAATATTCTTGAGTGTCTGTTGCGTATGTAAGCACATGTGGCAGCTGCACGGCAGAGCACGCCCGCGGAGGGACATCCGTCGGTAGTGGCAGATATAACCATCATCATTTCTTATTCACTTATTCAGCGGAGCGCTGCTCGAGTCCCTCAGCTGGAGCTACGCGGTTAAATGCACACGATGTCTTTCCTCATTAACAGATGAAGGAAAATTCTACGGCTTCAGCAAACAAAATTCAGTGGATCACGAGGTTCTCCCCGACGCGTTCTGGTCGCATCGTTGTAAATATTATCATTTCATCTCAGGGGAATCCGTCTGATCGCCTCAGTCTCACACAG